TAAAACAATAACACTTCAAGTTCACCAAGTTCAAATTACATCCTTAAAGAGACGCTAAAATTCATGGCAGCAAACTATGTTGTAAAACAATGCAAATTCAAACCATTGTAGGCCAACCTCAAGGTCAAAGACATCTACTTTTAAAACCAACATTTCTTACTCTTTGTAAATCTTTCTTTTATTTTCTTCTTCATTTTTTAAGGGCAACATTCAAATCCCTTGTCTGATGCTTGGTTACAGATATGAAATTCAAGCAGCTTCACTTTGCTAATCCAAAAACATTTTGTGGGTGCCTCCATAATAACTGATTTAATATACTTTATGAAAGATATTCCTTTACTGAGCACATAACTGAGTAATTCTCCATCATTATTAAAAGAAACCATCTCTTAGGCATGAAGATAAGTGTTTAATCAAAATACATCTTATGTCAGAAAAATAAAAAATGCTATTTATCTATAATCAAACCCTTAATCAAGTAACAATACTTACGCAATTCATCTATAATTAAAGCCCTAATCAAGTAACAATACTTATACAATTCATCTCTAATTAAAACCTTAATCAAGTACCAATACTTTACCAATCTTTTGATGAAAAAGAAAAATCTGCAACATCATGACGTATATATTAATTAACCACAAATGTAAAAAAAAAAAAAACACTCCTCACAGGAACTCATCAACAATACTATTCAATGATCTTTGATTAAGCATGAATGGTGGAAGGATGTGTCCCATTAACAATGATTCAAATTGTCATGTGAAATAGTACTAGTACTGTATGTCATTTTCCTATTTTGATTAGTATTTGATTTAAAAAACAACTAGTCATAATCAATAAAACAGATTGTTAAGATAATGTGCTAGCTTAGCTTGATTATTATACCTCATCATCATTATCCTACAATTGTCACTGTTGCTGCTTCTGTCATCATCTTTAACATTACCAACAATATTATTAACAATATCTCCATAATCATAATAATTACTTATAATAACAGTGACTGTATAATTTTTCAATATCTGATATGGATTTCTTTTAAAGTAACAACAACAATAAAACAACCCGGACCTTGTCTTCCAAATCATACATATCTATAAAAACTGTCATGTCAATTAGTATATGGCAATCTAGCTTTTGTGATAAGCATTGTATGGAATTTATATATTCCTTAAATCTAAGACACTTTATCCATGACATTTCAAGCTGATTTTGCGAAGTCTGAGGCTATTTGAAAACCAGTTATCAAATTGTGATGACATGTATATATTTACTGTATTAATTGCGAGAGGGCATTTATTGTGCCTGAATATATGATGAATTTGTCTGTTGGCTTCTTTTCCTTAGCACAGACAGGCAGACAATGAAGTAACTGCAACCTTGTGCAAAAGATATATAACATGTAGGTGAGTGCAATGCAACAAAACCATATATTTAATATTCTTTAATTAACCTAAAATACACACAAATCAACCATTTATTATTAGTGGGAAGGTGGAGCTCTCTGCTGGAAGAATAACCAACATTAAAACATTAACTGTATAATAGAGATAATAGTAATAAATCTTATGTACCACAACAGAAGAAATTGTTTGATTTTATCTGCACTACATAAAAAGGTGTATATTGTTAATTGAAAAGGGAGTAAAAATACGTCATGTTCTGCCTTTCACCTCCTATCAAAACAAAAAATGATAAAGAGATATCCCATTCTATTGCACTGATAATTACGCCTAAAAAAGACAAAAATTAAAAGCCTATATTCTACCTCTCATAACAGGTGACTAGTAATTCCACATATTTTGGAAAGATAAATGAAACTGTAAAATTAAAATCCGCAGCAAATAACTCAAACCCAATTGTCAAATAGGAAATTATAAAATCACAAATCCTTATAACCCTTTACCTGCTGGATGGTTCCACATCGGCTGCATTTTGGGAGGAACGAATTTATCCGCCGTACGGATCATTGCTCGGTAAATCGCAGACATTGTTCCTCTGTGCGGTTTCTAAGAGACAAATGCAATAAACACTCTTGATCTGAATAGTGTGGCGTTCTAAACAAAATGAGTAATGCTGGAAATCGCGACTAAACACCTTACTCTACCGGAGGCTCCACCATTACTGCTGAATGTTTTTCGGTGGTAACCTTAGGAATTGCAAGTTAGTTATCGTTTTTCGTTGTCGAATCATAACGCCGCTAAATCTATTCCTAAAATCTTAAGCAATCTATCATTAGATTTTAGCTTTTCTTAGGTGTTTTCTTGGATAACAGATGTATCATATTATTTGCGTTGTCGGCAAGATATAATTAATTAAAAAAGAAGGATTATCAAACATCTGCCATCCAGTGATAAAAAAATATTGACAGAAAATGTAAACGAAAATTCTATGACTAACTGATATATCTTTAATAATTTGATTAATTATTGGATTTATTACAGTAATTTCTTGATTGTATAATAATAGAGGGAACATAACGTAATCGTCGTAAAGAAAATTCTAAAATGAAATTTGTTTATACATGTTAAGGTAAGAAATGTTAAATAATAATGATTTATGCATCCCATTTACAAATATACAGTAAATCGAAGTACGAACAATATATTAAGAGATTTTTTCAGTTAATGCACACATTTCTCAAAAATGTAAAATAAGATATTACAATGTACAA